CTTTCTCCCCCCCACCCTCCTCCTCTCCTGATTTTCCTCTGCTTTCAAAATTACTTGAGCTTATAGTATCAGATTCGCTTTTCACTTCCTTCTCATCTTCAGTGCTGGGGATTGTGTTTCGTGACACATCTTAATCCCCCATCCCTGCCCTCTATTCTGGATCCCTCCCCATTTGTATAAGGTTTGTCTCCCATTTTCTGTTGTTTGCCTTTTACTTTTCTAATGATTGATTCTCTGGGTTACTGTGCTAAGGAAGGGCCCATTTAGTCTGTCTGGGAGGCCAGGGACAGAGGTGTCATACGCTACGTGCTGAGAAACTCAAAATCAAGCAGCACCCATCAGATTGCTGCTGCGGGTTATGGAGTCCAGGGTGGGCCTCCGCGTTCCCCAGAGTCGCACACAGCAAGCAGGAAAGGCAGGGCAGGGTAGCTCTAACCAGGTGACAGCGAGCTCACTCCCACTGGGGGGAAGCAAGCGCTCAAGGCCTTGGGCTTAGCTTGTGGGCTAGGTGTGGGGCGCTGCCCACTGGCCTGCGGAGCAGGACTGACAGGAGCAGAGTGGCTGCTGCCTCTGCTGCACGGGCCTTTTCCCCTGATGCACGGTTACAGTGGGATTCCTGAGACACAGCGTGTAGGCATGAAGCACCCGTGAGCTGAGAGTGGAGGAAGGCGGCTGTAGGCCGCACAGGAGGACCTGGCAGCCTGTGTTCTGGAACGGGCTCCAGGGTTCCCCAGCTCTGTGTCTTCCTTGCTCTGCCAGGGCTGCTGGCACGGTTGCTGCCTGGCAGAGCTGTGGAGGGCATGGCTTGACAGCCCCAGTCGCTCTGTCTCTTTTAGACTAGTAGAGACCTAGAGCTGTGCCAGTGCCTAGCAGGAGGCCACACGCCTCAGCCTTGGGGCAGGGACCTTGACGACCTCTCGCCAAAGGTGCGCACACTGACTCTGGCCTGAAACTCTGCTGTCAGAAGACTGTCCCGGCACCCCACCGTGGAAGCCGTTCAGTGCCACTCCAGGGCCCTGCAGGGCCCACGTGGCACTGCCATGCTAAGAAGGGAGAAGGCAGGCAGTTCTGCACTGATGTGAAACCTCACCATCAAAAAATTAAGGGCGCCTTTCCCGTAAGCCAGGCTCTGTACATGGTGCCGCAGGGTGGTGGGCTAGCACTTCGCCTGGAGGTAGAGGGCAGGGGCACGCCTAGTAAGATAATGATGCTGGCGGCTCAGGGGTCCCGCGGGACTGGGCCAGCTGGAGGCCTCTGACTCACAGGGAGCATCTGCTCCGAGGCTGCTTGGTGGACGGGGATGCCGGCTCCCCTCCGTACGTTCATGTGGCTCTGCCCTTGTTCTGGGAATAGAAGCGTTTCTAAGCACATGCTGTTGTTGGCTCTAACAGTTGCCTGTCAACTTCTCGTCCTCAAGTTCTGAGGTCAGGATGCTCCTAACCCGACCCCAGGTGGGACGGGCAGCATGAGCAGCTGGGTCCCGGACCCTGCAAAGCCGTGAGCATGTGGTTGGGCCGGCCTGGGGGCTCCTCCTGCCCAGCAGCCCTGTCTGCGTGTGAATCTTTTCCTCCCGTGGATCCAGAGAGGCGAGCTGTTGTGGGGACGATTTATCCTCCGCGTTGTCCCCACCTGCTGCCCAGCTGCTGCAGGCTTTGTCTCTGAGTCCCAGGTTTCTGGCAGCTGCACCGCACGCACGCTGAGGATCCCTCTGGGGTTCCCCTGGGTGCTGAGCACAACCTGATGCCTGAAGGCAGCTTCGTGCCACCCAGCAGGGGGCGCCATGCCTTCGCGTTCCTTGTCCCCAACCTGTCCTCCTCGCTGTGGTCCAGGAGGATGGCAGGCAGGCCTGGCGCGCACAGAAAGCCATAGCAGAGAGCTTGCAGCTGTTATTGTTTTCCCTGGGAAGCTTCGAGAGGCTTGTCCAGTCTCTGTGGGGACAGACATTAATTAGAAATGTGCCCTCCGAGAGGACACAAGCAACCGGGCCTCCCTGGAAGGGTTAATTTCCTGGAGAGGGAAAGTGAGTCATGAAGAGATTTCTTCACTGCCGTAAACAAACAGTGCCTGAGTCACAGCAGGCATGTCCACCTTCCCTGGAACTGCAGTGACTTTCCGGAATTCCACATGCTTTACGTTTTCCAGGAAAACATCTATTTCGTACTTTCCCCCTCTGACTGGGAATTGAACCCAGAGCCTACGCTGAGCTGTGTCTCCAGCAAGCACACCCTTTTGAATTCTGAGGCAGGACCTCCCTGAGTTGCCCAGACAGGGCTCGGATTTTGCCGTCTCCTGCCTCAGCCTCCACGAGTGTGGCGGTTATAGGCTGTAGGTCCACACCCGGGGCTCCACATCCTGCAGGAAACTGCGGGGGGTGGGGGTGTGCTAGTCATTGCCCGCTTTTTCTAGAATTGTCTGTGGGATTTCCTTGGTCTTTTTGGGGCCATCCCTGGCGTATTAACAAATTGTATAAATGTGATCAACCTCCGGTTTCTTCACACGAGCTGCCCCCAGTACCACTGCTTTGCTTGCTACCATAAATTCCTGGTAAATGAGGCTTTAAAATTACTGCCTCCGTAAAAATACCGCGTTTATCTGGAGGCACTGTGGGCGGTTTCACTGCTCAGGCTGTGGTGGAAACTCAGCCTTCTCTGGGGCTGGCTTCCCCTGTGTTTGAAGTGGTTTCCATGCCAACAGCCCTGCTCAGGTTCCTGACATCCGGGAGGGAGGAAGGGGCCCTGCCCCAGCCCTGGCTCTGCCGAGTCTGAGGCAAAAATGAGGACCCTGGGAGTGGACAAGGAAGCCACAGCTGGGGTGGTTGCCTTTGGGAGAAGCCACCAGAAGAGCACCCGGGACAAGGACCCTGCGTCTGTGCTGTCCAGGCCTGCCCTCCCTCGGCTGGATCTCTATCC